AATTCTAAATTAGCTGATTGCCCCATGGCCCCTGTGGATCAGGGACAGAAAGACCAGAAGGAGGAAGACAGACAGCCGATGTGAGGGACCTTTATGGAGTTGTTGCCTAGGTTAGACTTCCGATGCTCCATACTTCCAGACCTCATGAGCAGCAATGTGAAATGCATTTCCACAGGTGAAAGAGAAGCCTATGTCTACAGCATTCCCCTTTGTCAATAGGGTCTGTGGCCATTCGTCTGCACACAATCCATGTGGCTTGGTTTCCTAGTGTCACTTCATGTCATAGCACTAGGGAATCGCTGAGGCTTGGCTGGGTCCTCTGACATCAAATGTTGACCAGGCTTGGGGACGGGGGCCTCATCATCCATTCCACTAGGGCAGGATCTGGTTCCAAACTAATGAGATTGTTGGCAGAATCAGCTCTTTGCGGGCCATCAGTATGGCTTCACTTTCCAACTGGACAGCGACAGGGGACCTCCCAGGGTTCTCTGCCCTCTGTGCAGTCAGAGAAAGCATAAGAGTGTGCTTCTTCAAACCCAGCAAGAGAGAATGCGCTTACAAGACAGGCGTTACAACCACCAGCATTGCAATCAGCCATATACTGTAACTTTGCCATTTTCCACTGATTAGAAGCAAGTCTCAGGTCCTATCCACATTCAGCAGGGGATGGCACAGGCTTGAACAAAATGAGGGTAAGAGTCCTGGTGCCACCTTAGCGTCTGTCTGCCTGTGTGTCTATGAGGACACAGACATACCAGCTCAGCAGGCGTGGCATTAATGGGTAACCTGCATAAGATAAATTCAGTTGTACGGAAGCATCTTTGATGCAAAAACAAAAGCAGTCCATTTTTTTTAAATAAAACAAGTTTATTTACAGTTTAGACAAACCAAGTAGGGACATAATCTAATTTATCTCTATTATGTATAAAACATTCTTGTAAATTTATAGAAAACCATGGCACAAGCCAAAAGATAGGAAAGAAAACGTTTCTGTTAGGTTAGGCAATGCTTTCGGGAGGGAAGGTGACTGAACCACAGATAAAACAGTTAATTTTTTTTAAAAAAAAATCCTCATTTACTACCCATTTGCCAAATTCTCCAATAATCCCCACTTTTTTGTTTTTACCAAAGCTTCACTTTAATCTCAAATATACGCATGTTTCTGGTCCTGCTACCTTGAGCATCTAGAGTCCCAAAGGGTGGAAATTAAGTCACTTTTAATTAAGCTCCCTTCTTCACACAAAATTGTTCGTTGGTGTCTTGCTTGGCACTGCTGGGTTTGGCTATTTAGCGTAGCTCTAATGAGGGTGTCCGCAAATTGTACAGATATACTAGTTAGGTCAAGTGATTGAACATTAAGGGAAAAATCAATTTCCTACCCCCGTTTCTTCCCTTTTAATTAGAGCTAGGCGAGCAGCTGTGTAACACCCTTATTTTCAATAATGCTGCTTTCAGGGGTGTGTTTATTCCTTCTGTGATGCTTAATGGGGTGTGTTTTACAGATATTAGGAGGATGCTTCAGGAGCCTTGAAGGGACAATGGGAGGTTGTGGTTTGACAATAAAGCACCTTGTGGCCTGTGGGTGGCAGTTGGGTGGTTGAGGTGTAAGGTCCTAGGCTAATCTTCAAGAGGAACGTGCTCTGGGCAGGGGATAGCCCTGCATGTGTTTGTGTGCTTGCTTCAGCATCCTTTTGGGCCAGTTTTCCCAAAGGTTTAGTGTGTCTTATTGCATCATTTGTTTTCATTTCCAAGAGTGTTTTAGAAGCTACAGGATGGTTATAGAGCCATTACGGATTCTAGCTGTAATGGTTATGACCGCCTGTGGAAACTGCAGGGAAGGGAAACAAAAGAGTAAATAAAGACCTTTCTTAGTACCCTTTCTCTTTATTTGCATCTTCATCCACTGCACTAGGGGACCCAGCTCTGGGGGATCACTCAAGGTTGAGTCCCACATCCCTGTCACCATTCACTGTGATTAATAACCCGTGTGCCTTCTGAGAAGGATTCCATGAACTTTGGGGTACAGGTGAGCCACCGCCACTAAAAATTAAGGCTGACACGTTTATTTTGAAGGTCAGAGTCAAGTTAATGACCCTACAAATTTCCTGACACATTAATGTAGTTTTCTCATCTTTCAAATGAGGTAACAACCCAAGTCAGTCCCAAGGAAGCCAATATTTATCTAAAAGCTTCAATATGGTATGTGCCAGGGGACTGGAAAAGCAATCCACATTAGGAAAATGGAATTAGTTCTAACTGCATTATTAAGTACTACAAATCACTCTCTTGGGCTCAGCAGATTAAGCATCCAAATTATTTTTCAACCTGCTTATGTTTCCATTTCTGAAATCATATACAATGTGGAAGAAAAGTGTTCTTATTTAAAACTATAGCTTTCATATTGTACAAAAACAAAACAAAACAAAACCATAGGCAGTAGCTCCTCAAGTGCCTTGTAGTCAATTACTTGTGTACAGCGTACTGATTGTTACTAATCTTCCTTCTGCTCATATTTTATGATTCTGTCATTTACTGTTGACTTAGCATCTCATGCATGTGAAGTATTCAGGCAGATACCATGGAGAAAAGAAATCTCCTTTCCTTGAAAAGGCTTCAGTCTGAGTATTTCCATGACCTAACCATTCTTAAATCCTCCTCCAGAGGATTCCACTGCCCCTGGAATGAGATGAAAATTCTAGCCAGAGGCCAGAAGAAGTGCAGGTCAATACTGTGTGTTCAGCTGACTGCTATAGAAGAAGCTGCTCTCCCCCTGCCCCCCTGCCAAAAAAAATATGCCAGCTTACCAATAATAACCACAGGAGAGATAGCAGTTCCAAAACCCTTGTCTTCTAAATACTGAATCGTTTTTCATTTTCCTGAACTGTGAATATAGGACCACGCAACCAACACATTTGTGAAAGCAAGGAGTGGTTCCCTCAAATACATTGCTTTAGGGAATGCAGACCCAGTAATAACCTCAACTACAAGCCACTAAATTCCAAAGAAAAGGAGCTAACCGCCTGATCTTGGATCTCCATGACCCAGGACAGAGTCGCTTTACCTCATGGTCTTCAGTTACAAGGACTTGAGTAACAACTTGAAGTCAGCATTTCCCAAGTCTATTGAAGTCAGGCTAAAGAGCCATACTGGAGCCTTGTTGATGAACTTAAAAGTTATGATGATGAATCTCAGTCATCACCTGGATGTGACTGGAGTCACCTGGGAAACTGGAAGACCGGAAGGCCTCTGGGGATGCCTGTCATGGATAATCTGGATCAGAGTGAGGCAAGAAATACTACCCACCATGGCTGACACCATTCTCTAAGCCAGGGACCTAGACTATGTGAGTGGAGAAAGACAATGAGGATAAGAACTCATCATTGTCTGCTTTCAGGCAAAGGACACACTCTGAGCAGATCTCTCCAGCTCCTGAAGCCATTTCCTCCCCGCTGTGATGATCTGTACCCCAGCATTTAGTTTTCGTTAGAGTGTCACATCATAGGAATAGAAAAATATGACTGATGCCCAAGCACAAGAGGCCCTGTGTGCAGAAACCCTTTAGTGGAGCCATGCTTTAACTTGTCTGACCCTGGAGCCCTTAGTCATGTCCCACAGAGCTCATGTTCTCTGGAAATAACTCAGGAAATGATTTTCCAAATTCTTTTTTTTTCTTTTTTTGCTTTAGAACTTGGTAGTTGACATTTTCCCTTATGAATG